GGTTGTTGGTCATGTATGTCCTGGCAGAGTTCCTAACGGGAGAAAATCCCTCTTTTTGGCTGCAAAGAAATCTCCACGCCTTTTCTGGCAACTGTTAATGGAAGCTGAAATGTGGCATGTGGAGAAGTGGAAGAGGAAATGTTATAGCTGGGATTTCTGATAGGATTTGATGATTCAAATTAAGAGTTTTCACCTCTTGTTCATTATCTGTCGGTCTGTCATACTGTGGTGGCTTGTGTGTTTCTATGATGCTAGAAGCAATGCCACCAGTATTTCAAATACCAGCAAGGTCCCCCATGGTGGACAGGTTTCAGGGGAGCTTCCAGACTAAGACAGACAAGGAAGAAAGGCCTGGTGATCTACTTCCAAAAATCAGCCAATGAAAACCCTATGGATCACAATAGAACATTGTCCGACAGAGTGCTAGAAGATGAGCCCACTAGGTCGGAAGGCACTTAAAATAAACAATGGGCACAACAGTGGACTAGAGTAAACCAAATCACTGACAACAATTGATGGATAAATACCCCCGCTCTCTCCCTCCTTGAGAGGGAGCACATGCTATGAGGTGCATGCTCCACATGCTTTCTGAGAATTCCTCAAAACAATAAAGTAATTGGTGCCCCACATTGATGACTTCCATCAATACCAAAAAATCAAATACAGAACTACCATGTGACCCAGCAATTCCATTCCTAGGTATATACCCCAAGACTTGAAAGTAGGAGCTCAAACAGATACATGCAACACTTATGTTCACTGCAGTATTATTTCCAATAGACAAAAGATGGAGACAACCCAAGTGTCCATCAATAGATGAATGGATCAACAAAACATGGTACATACATACAATGGAATACCACTCAGTCATAAAGAGAAATAAAATCTTGATGCATGCTATCACATAGATAGCCTTGAAAACATTGTGCTGAGCGAAATAAGCCCATCACAAAAGGCCACGTATTGTATGATTCCAGTTACGTGAAATATCCAGAACAGGCAATTTTATAGAGACAGAAAGCAGATTGGTGGCTGTCAGGGGCACGGGGAGGAGAATGGGGAGAGACTGCTAAAGATATGCGGTTTCCTCTTGAGGTAATGAAAATGTTCTAGAATTAGTGGTGATGGCGTCACAACATTTTGAATATACCAAAAGCCACTGAACTGTATAGTTTTACAGAGCGAATTTTATGGTATGTGAATTATATCTCAATTTTACAAAAGGAGAAAAAAAAAAAAAACCCTTCATCAAATGCATCATCTGTGGAATTCTTTCTTTCCCTGCTTCAGTCTGCCGGCCACCACTGCTTCCTGGTGCCACTTCCCAAATAAACTGCTTGCCTTTGAGCACCTGTCATAGGGTCTAATTCTGCAGGAATGCAAAGTAAGGTACAACCCATCTCACTCTCATCCTAAGGTGGGAGGAAGAGTGCTCCATGCTGCTAGCCTGGGAGGTGGGTGGGGAGCGGGGGTGTTACAATACCCAGACTATTCCCTCCAAAGAAACTCCCTTGGTAATATTCACCCTCTGGGAATCTTCAGTCCTTTTGTACCCTCAAGATTTGCAGCCACCATTGTTACAAGGGATGGCCTAGCACCTCGCTTTAGAAACTGGGGCTTCTTATCTTCCTGTTGCTTTGCTGAGCCATAAGGAGTCCCCTTATAATATCCTATGCGAAGTATAGGAGTAGTGCAGCAACACCCAGGAATTCCACAGTGATGTCAGGGCTGAAACTTCAGGGAGGGAGTTGAAGCCTCCTGGGCACTCTTTTCGTCCCCCCTTCCTTAGAGGTATTCACCACCCTGAATTCGATGCTCATCATTCCTGTAGCCCTTCCAGTTTCCAGTCTGGTGTATTTCTAGGCATGAGAGCTTAAACACATCATCCACTATTGGAAATGAGTATCCATAGAGGAAGGATTTCAAAATTAGACTTAACAAGGACCAGATCTCATGCATTTTAACATTTCATAAGGAACCAATCTATTTCATTATGGCCTAATTTACTTGGCCTAACGAATTCTCTCTCACAAGTGGTGCTGACAAATTCAGTGGGCTTTATAAATCATTGATCAATATCACATTTGTCATCAATTCACTCTAACTTTGGAAATAGTCCCAGGAGCTAATTTTGTATTGCTTCCTGCAAATGATCCATAATTCATAATTAACATTTCCTTCAAATGTGACAGGTATTTCATTCGGTAAAATGGCAAAGTGTGCTGAACACAGAAACACACAGAGATACACACTCACATACACACACAAGCACACACTCACATACACACACAGGCACACACATGTACACAGACACACAAACACAAACACACTCACATATACACAGACACACATGCACATATACACACATACACACACTCGGATACACAAACACACACACACACACACTTCCCTCTAAAAGCAGGTTGTTCTCCAGTGGAGGGGCATTGCCAGCAACTCTTTTAAGGATACTCTAAGGGGACTAAAACCAGCATTTAGAGAAACATTGCATCAGAGAAACAGGAAGCTGCAGGAGAATTCCCACTGCTTATTTCAGCAAAAATGTGTTAGTTTAAGTTTTATGATTGTTGCTGGTATGTGACCTAGAATAGCTCTTTTGTCAAAAAACTGAGATTTATTGCAGGTGCTCAGGTAGGTAAATTGAAAGCTCAGGGAATTTTTAATACCATAAATTTCTCGTCTGGCTTTGGAATAAATGGGATACAAAACCTTCAGCCCTTTCCTTGTGGCCCACGAAGTTATGCATGGCACCTTCTGAATGGCAGCAGCAACAGCAGGGATGTGTTCAGTGCTGAAGGAGGACTCATCTGCTATCCCACTCGGAGCACTTGAACTCCTTGAAGGTATGCGAACATATCTTTAAAATATCTGGCTGTATTTTGAACTCAAAGGGAAAAAGTTATTATTTAACCCTCAGAAAATGTAACAAGTTCTTCCTTGTTAAAACTGTAACAGTAAAACCACTATTCCTCCTTAGAGGATGGAAGGCTGACTGCTAGGTCATGTTCTCCAGAGAAACGTTGCTGCTCTGTAATTGAGAGCTATGTCGTAACAGACAGAAAACGTGTTAAAAGTGGCAATATCTGGATCAAGTGCACTACACTTTTACCATACTTTTCACGTTCAGAAGCAACTGGATAATCTAGTCAATTAGTTCTTAAGACCTTAGAAATATCCTTTCTTAGAAACATAATGATGTTAAAAAAAAAAAAAAAAGTTGCCATTGATTTTGACTCAGAGCAACCCTGTAGGACAGAGTAGAACTGCCCCACAGGGTTTCCAAGGAGTGGCTGGTGGATTTGAACTGCTGACCTTTTGGTTAGCCAAGCTCTTAACCACTGTGCAGCCAGGGCTCCAGTGATGTTAATGGGGGAGTAACAATTCGGAAAAGGAGGGTGAGAATGGTTGCACAACTTGAAGAATGTAAGCAATGTCACTGAATTGTACATGTAGAAACTGTTGAATGGGTGTATGTTCTGCTGTGTATTTCTCAACAACAATTACAAAAAGTAAAATAAATTATTAAAAAATAATAAACTATTACCACCACACAACAGTCAACTTTCCATCTTGTTCACCTCCAGCCAGGCTAAAAGCTTATACTCAAAAGCTACTGTGGTCAGTAACACAATTGTTGTTGTTAGGTGCCATCACGTTGATTTTCAACTCACAGGGAGCCTGTATGACAGAGCAGAACTGCCTGGTGGAGTTTCCCAGGCTGCCATCCTTATGGAAGCAGATTGCCAGTTCTTTTCTCCTGCAGAGCCACTGAACAGGTTGGAACTGTCAACCTTTTGGTTAGCAGTCAAGCACTTAACCATTGCACCACCAGGAATGCTCATCTATTAATGTGAAATGATGGGCATTTCCAAGATAGACAAGGGTTTCTTTCTAACTGAAATGGAGTTCACAGAATGCATTAGTTCCTGGGTAAGTGATACTACAGGAATCATTGAGGAAAGTGACACAGAGACCATGGGCCTGGTTCGAGGGCCACCTGTGTGAATGGACAGGTGTCTCCGAGCCCCATGGCCACGAGGGCTGTGCAGCTGTGTCTTACTGCCCCTGTGGTGCAGTGTTCTCAGTCCATTTGTGCAGAAGGGGGGAGGAGAGACCTGTCCGAGATGCTGGTTAATTTACGAAACTGCAACTGGCTCACCTGTGCAGATGGAGGAGGCACCTGCTTCCTGGTCAAGATCTCAGAGAGACGGACAGGGGATTTTCTCCTTCACCTCATGTCAGCAGCCCCATAGGACAGGGAAGGAAGCAGAGAAGTATAGGGCTGCCTGGGGCTTTGAGGTTCTGTTGTGAACTCTCCCAAGCTGTGTGTTTTTATCTGATTTTAAACACAAGGTTATATTTGGATGAACACACACCACCCATGACTAGATTTCCTCCTCCTCATGGTGACCTCCTTGTACTGACCCTTACTGGCATATAAGGCTTTCATGTTTTTTTATTTCTTTGTCTCCATTCCTCTTACTCTGCCCTTTCCCCTTCTGCTCCATTCTCTTCTCCCCTCACCCCCACTTCCCCTCGTCCTTCTCCCATTTCCCTTTGCCCCTTTCCGTCTTCAGAGAACCCCATGCTGACAACCACTTACCTTGCTGTTGTCTGTTGCCATTGAGTCGGCTCCAATTCATAGTGACCTTATGAACAACAGAACTTAACGTTATCCAGTCCTGTGTCATCCTCATGATCATTGGTGTGTTCGAGCCCATTGTTGCAGCCCCTGTGTCCATCCATCTCATGAAGGGTTCCCCTCATTTTCATTGGCCCTCTCGTTTACCAAACATGATGTCCTTTTCTAAACTTTGGTCTTTCCTGATGACACGTCCAAAGTAAGTGAGCCAAAGTCTCATTTATCAGCCTCACTTCTAAGGGGCATTCTGGTTGTATTTCTTCTGAGACTGATTTGTTCAATCTTCTGACTGTCCATGGTATATTCAACATTCTTCATCAACACCACGATTTGAATGCATCAATTCTTCTCTCTTCCTTTTTTCATTGCTCAGCTTTCGCATGCCTATGAAGTGACTGAAAAGACCACAGCTTTGGTCAGGCACACCTTAGTCATCAAAGTGACATGCTTGCTTTTTAAAACTTTAAAGAGGTCTTCTGCAGCAGAACCCCTTTTTGTTCCCCATCCAAATTGGTCAATGGCTCTGATATACAAAGATATCCAACTGGACTCACTGGCTCAAGGACGGTAGAGTTTAGGAGACAACGCTTCAAAATCCTGGCCTGTTCACACATCTAATGCTCTGAGAGGCAGAAACCTGTGGTTCTGGCTGGGGGAGGTGATAGGGAACCCCCCGCACTGACGCCAGAGAAGCACGCATTTGGAGATCCCACTCCTGAAAGTTACAGATGACACTACAGCTCTAATGGCATTTCAGAGCAACTTAAAAATGGAAAACAAATTCCAGGAACTGTAGGACTCATTTCCAGGAGTAGGTTGCCAACCAAAGAGGAACTGGAAACTCAGCTGAAAAGGCTGTAGTAGACAGATCCCATACAAGAGTTAAACACACTGGACTTGTTTCTAAGAACAGAGCCCAGAACAGTTACTGAGTTGGAAGTTTGGGAGAAAGCTTTAGCCAGGGATGGGCTAAATTCCAACACTGTTATCCAGAAAAAAATTACAGCATTATAAGCTATAAATAGTTATACGGTAGACAGAGGTTCTACCACAGTCATATGGAAAATACTGCTTAAATTTCTGAAACATTTATTACTACTACTCTAAACCAGAAAAATGAGCAGGGCTAAAGTCTGTCTCTGGAATACTCTAAACATTCATATGAAAAGTACAAATTCCAGCCCAAGATTCAGATGATGAGTCTCCATTTTATCAATCCTAGTAGGAGGATGTTTCAAAAGCCCAGATGCTCCACATCACACAGATAGGCAACTCTGCTTGCTCCTACCCTCCAGAGGACAGCTCACTGCACTTACCTGCATCCTCCAGATTGGTGACAGTCTGTCGTGTACATGTGAGATTTCATCGGCTTCCTTCATTATCCAATATTTCTCTCACTTCTTTTCCTTTCAGGAAGTAGACAGCAACCACTGCAAAATTAAATGGAAGCTTTGACTTTCTAGTAGAGAGAAAAAAAGTTCAGGTAATAGCTACAGGCAAAGGATAAAGCAGATGGAATGAAACAACGTGGGACTCTAAGAAATTTAAATACCAAAATAGAAATTACAGGTGATGGCTAGAGTGGTGTAGTGGTTAAGAACTCGGCTGCTAATCAAAAGGTCAGCAGTTCGAATCCACCAGCCGCTGCTCGGAAACCCTATAGGGCAATTCTGCTGTGTCCTATAGGGTCGTTACAAGTTAGAATTGACTCGATGGTAATGGGTTGGTTGGTTGTTGGTTGGCTGGTTTATAATTCACAAGGGTCATTTAAAACTATAAAATAGTGATTGGTTTTCTATAGGTCCTCTCTCCACCTTCTCCTTCTCACGGAAAGACACCGTATACTGAAATGCATAAGGAATCCAAAGCAACCAAACCCGTTGCCGTCAAGGCAATTCTGACTCACAGCAACCCTATAGGACACAGTAGAACTGCCCCACAGGGTTTCCAAGGAGCAGCTTGTGGATTCGAATTGCTGACCTTTTAGTTAGTAGTCGAGCGCTTAACCACTGTGCCACCAGGGCTCCTTCTCTACAGAATCAAGCCCGTTGCTGTCGAATCGATTCCGACTCATAGCAACAGAGTAGAACTGCCCCATAGGGTTTCCAAGGAGTGGCTGGTAGATCGGAACTGCCGACTTTTTGTTAGCAGCCGAGCTCTTAGATGATGCAAATATTTGCTAGTTATCACAGACTCCCTAATCATCATGTGGTGCTAGCAAGCTAAGACCTTGGGATTGATCATTTGGCACATACATCTATGGAGTAAACTTAGGTTTAGACAGGGAACATACACAGTATGTACGTATTGTGCTACCACCCCTTCCGCTGCTCCATTGTTCCAGGAAGCAAAGTCGTGTGGGGCCTTGACTGAGGTGGTTGGCCTGTTTGTTTGGCAGATCCAACGGTGCAGGGGAACGTGCCTCTAGCAGGCCTAGAAGGAAAATGAATAAGCATATTAATGTTTGTTTATTGTGTGCTCTTTTTTTCCTCCTTTCTCCATATAAAATTTGGTTTTCATTCAAATTGTGCCCTAATAAACGGAAGGAGAGAGAGACAATTTTGTCATCATAAACCCACAGTGTTGATGATGATGATTATTTTCGCTTCTCACTGGTTAGAAGCAAATCTAAGATGATGAAAAAAGAGGCTGAATACATCTTTGAAGTGAATCAATTATTATTTAGGAGTTCCTGGGTGGTGCAAATGGTTAATGTGCTTGGCTGCTAACAGAAAGGTTGGAGGTTCTAATCGACCCAGAGGTGCCTTGGAAGAAAGGCGTGGAGATCAACTTCCAAAACATCAGCCTTTGAAAACCCTATGGAGCACAGTTCTACTCGGGCACACATGAGGCACCATCAATTGGGGTCAACTGGACAGCAAATTTTTTTTTTGGTTTAATTATTATTTATAAGTTTAAATTTTGTACATTATTTTAATGTCATCTATACAAGTAAAGTCATTCAGACAAAAATGTGAAGAATTTAATGAATCATGATTTTCATTCCCTCCCAAAATACCACTAAGTGAAGAGTACGTGCATTTTAGTTTTCATTAGTCCCAAATGTGTAAGGACAAAGGGAATGGAAAAACATAAACAGGCACTGTAAAAACATTCCTCCTTCTCATCCTCCTGCTTTGGACTTGGTTGTGGGAGAGAGGTATTGTCAGGTGCTGCAGCAGCTATTTTGACACCATGAGGAGATGAGTCTGGGGATGAGGCCAACACACTGAGGAAGATGGGATGAAAAGATGGAAAGACTTTGTGTCTTGATGACATCATTGACCCACTGAACATTTCCCAGAAATCTCCTTCCTCTGGATTTTTTATGCAACAATAACCTTCTTGTTGTTTAAGCCAATTTTAGTAATGTTTTCTATTACTTGCAGTTTGCAGTGGAAGGGGCATCATGATTGGTGGAAGAGTCATTACCAACCTGGCTGTGTAGATGACACAACCTTCCTTGCTTAAAGTGAAGAGGACTTGAAGCACTTACTGATGAAGATCAAAGATCACAGCCTTCAATATGGATTACACCTCAACATAAAGAAAACAAAAATTCTCACAAATGGACCAAAAAGCAACATCATGATACACAGAAAAACAAAGTTGTCAAGGATTTCATTTTATTTGGGTTTACAATCAACACTCACGGAAGCAGCAGTCAAGAAATCAAAAGACCCATTGCATTAAGCAAATCTGCTGCAAAAGAACTCTTTAAACTGTTGAAAAGCAAAGATGTCACCTTGAAGACTCAGGTGCGCCTGACCCAAGCCATGGTGTTTTCAATCACTTCATACACATGTGAAAGCTGGACAATGAATAAGGAAGACCAAAGAAGAATTAACACTTTTGAATTGTGGAGTTGGAGAACGTTGAACATACCATGGACTGCCAAAAGAACGAACAAATCTGTCTTGGAAGAAGTACGACCAGAATGCTCCTTAGAAGTAAGGATGGCGAGACTATGTCTCACATACTTTGGACATGTTATCAGGAGGGATCAGTCCCTGGAGAAGGACATCATGGTTGGTAAATTACAGCGTCGGCGAAAAAGAAGAAGACCCTCAACCAGATGGATTGACACAGTGGCTGCAACAATGGGCTTAAGCCTAACGACCGTGAGGATGGTGCGGGACCAGGCAGTGTTTCGTTCTATTGTACCTAGGGTCGCTATGAGTCATAATTGACTCCATGGCACCTGACAACAACAACGTTATTATTACAATTGCCCATTTAATATCTTGTTTGGGCACTCAGCATCATTTCCGCTCAGTGGATCATGGCTTCCTAAGTGTGTAGGGAAACCAGCCCTTCTCCCATTCTTAGGTCACAGGCTTCAGGCATGGCACCACCCAGGCACCAGGGTGAACCATGTGACTCAAGACTAGACAATGAGTGCATGGAATCTCCTTGAGGGTTCTGTGCCACTGGTACTGGTTCAGGGATAAACGTGATCTTGAAACATCACAGAGGATAGCACTGGTGGCTTGGGGCCATGAACCCTCTGGTGTGTAAACCTTAAGGCAGCCACAGTTTATGGTGGTGAACAAAGTGTATTTATCTCAGGAGACAGCAGGCTGAAAGTTTTTTGTTTCATACCTAGAGAGAAGCTAAGCCTGTCCCACACTGAAATCAGAGAGAAACCCAGGATTTGGTCGGGGCTGCTGGGAGGAACATGATTTTTTTCCTTATTGAATGTAGACCAAGAAGCCCTGGTGGCACAGTGGTTAAGCGCTCAGCTGCTAACTGAAAAGTTGGGGGTTCGAACCCACCAGCTGCTCTGGGGGAGAAAGATGTGGCATTCTGCTTCCATAAGGGTTTAAAGCCTTGGAAACCCTAAGGGGGCAGTTCTACGCTGTCCTATAGGGTCATTATGACTGGAAATCGACTGCACAGCAATGGGTTTTTCTGTAGGGTATGTAAACCTGGAGAAAGGTCAGCCTGGATCTACAGGCAGCCTGCGTTGCCCCCATGAGAAATGAGACTGTTTGTTGACGGGGTTGACACAGCAGAAGGAAAAGTTGGCAGATGGAGAAGGAGAAACTTTGGTGAACCTCTGGAGAGCTGTTTCTGCAGTCCCAACTCCCCCAGACTCTCCCTTACACAAGCCAATAAATGCTCTTTTGTGTTTAAACCAGATCCAATGAGATTTTTGTCACTTACAGGAGAAATAATTGATGTATCTCATAAAGTCAGGACCATGTATTTATTTTGCTCTCCCTTGTTTTTTAGACATGAGAACAAATTGGGAAAAAAAAAAAAAAATCTGAGTAAACAAATGAAGCCAGAAAGGAAGGCTGGAAGGGCAGATGTAATAAAGCAAGGAAGGGGTAGGCGGAATGATATTTTGGTTTTCATCAAATGGCAAACCTAAGAAAACAGGGAGGGTATAAGCTGGTAGCCTGCTGATATCCGTAAAGAACTTGTTCTGCCTCAGGGGAAGCTACCCACGAAATAAAACGCTCTTTGAGTCTGGCCTCACTGTCCCGTGGGTGCTTTGAAACTAATCCTCCTCCTTTAAAAATCTCATTATTATTTCAGAAAGTAATTTTAATTGGATTGTGAATTATTCGGATCAGTGGGTTTTGATAAATAAGCTGGTTCTAAACTGATACACCAGAAAAACCTCTCTAAAGACAATTAAAAATGAATTGCTTTTCATGCATCAAGAAAGGCCTCAGTGGAGGCTCATATGGGAACCAGGTGGGAGACTTTTATAACCCCAGTATGGACGGCCCACTCCTAAGACTCTGGACCTGAAATTTTTTTTATATTTTTTTTTAATTGTACTTTAGGTGAAGAATTTTACGGAACAAATAGTTTCTCATTAAACTGTCAGTACACCTATTGTTTTATGACATTGATTAACAACCCCACGACATGTCAACACTCCCTTCTCGACCTTTTTTTTTTTTTTGATGACAATATGCATAGCCAAAGATACACCATTTCAAAAATTTCTTCATGTACAATTCAGTGACATTGATTACATTCTTCCAGTTGTGCTGCTATTCTCACTGTCCTTTTCCAAATTATTCCATCACCATTGTCTTCAACTCACTGTCCCCTAGGCTTCCCATCAAATCTTTTGAGTTGCTGTTGTCAATTTGATCTCATATAGATAATTCTTTGTT